TAACATGACTAAGGTGGAAATATGTTTAACATTATTATACATACATAGCCTATATCAGAGTGATTGACATTTGGGGGCAAGGAGAGGGGTGGGGGAGGAGCAAGAGAGAGAAAAGGTTTCAAACTCAATATTTTACAAAAGTTAATGTTGAAAATTTTTAAAAAAGAACAAAATCTACTTGTATGTACAGAAAAAAAGACTAAATTAATTACCCTCAAAAAATTCCTCCTTTTTTGGTTGCTATAGGACACTGTTGACTCAGATTGGTTTTTAACAATCCACTAAATACCCAAATGTTTATTAGGTTAACTGTTGTCTAGCCATCCCTATATCATTTTTTACTTGTGAAATTAATTTTTAACCTAAGCAAGAGTTTATATTTATCTCTATTAAATTTCATCTTATTAACTTTTATTATCTTATTCACAGAGTATTACAGAAACTCAAAGTTAGAAAGAACCTCAGAAATACCAAGATATTTTTAGATCTTGATTCTATGGTCTAATGTGTTAAATTTCTCTACTAGCTTTATGACATCTGCAAATTTGATAAATATGCCATATATACCACTGTTCAAGTCAATGAAATGAGGTTATCCTGAGATGACCTGTCCTTAAACTTACCTCAAGCTTCAAATATTCCTTTATCCAAACTCTCTACCCCAATCAAAATGTAATTATCATTGTTTCCCTAGTGTACCATGCACAATAATGTGGCCTGTGTTTTTAGCTTATAATTTGTCCTACCATGAATCATCTCTAAGGCTTGGCTTTAACTAAACTCTCAATTTATTTATATGATCAACTTTCTCTAGGCTACATTCCAGCCATAACAGACTTCTAGTAATTCTGGACATTGTCCTGCTTCAAAGTGCTTTGTACATTTGTATATGTCATCATTCATCTCTAGAATGTCTTCTTTCCACATTCTCTTCCCTCCAGGCTCCTGATCCAGCACATTTGAATCTACTTAAAAAAATCATTCTATTTCACAGCATACCTTGGGAATTCACTCCTCCTTCATGAGGACCCCTATGATCTCCCCACCACAAAAATATCCTCCCTCCCCCAAACTCTCATGTCTTACTGGTTTCTCATACGTACCTTTCTCATTTTAACCTGTATAATATTTGTGTCCTAAATTGAAATCTCTTTGACATAGCAGTTATATACTATGTAATTATTCACCTTTAAATTACCTGGGACTTAGCATATTGCCATATGCTGAATAGGTGTTTTAAAATGTTTTTTAAGTGTAATTGATTCAAACTAAATTTCACACTGCTTGAGACTCAGCTAAACACTAAACTCACTTTTCAAAGAGCCCCATTTACAGTAAAATACTTTCTTGCCAGACAAGCAATGAATTTGATTATCTATACACCTGCTATGAGGTCAGAACCTTAATTCTGAGGCCCAGAAGAGGAGAATGACAAATCTAAGATGAGGGTTGGTTGGTGGTATGAATTAAAATTAAAGGACCTTTCCTAAAGACTTCATTGTAAAATAAAGGACACCTGTGAGATTTTGTGGTCAACTCAGTATATTGATATTATTTTGTGATTGAGATACTTAAACTTTTGTTTTTCTTACTTCATGCAGAGAGATCAATAATCTAAGAATTGGCCTAGTAGTAAGAATTCTTGGCATTTTATTCTGAATTGCTATGTTTTACCTCAATAATTTTTTCCAATTGCTAAGCATCTAGGAATATCTGATCAGACCTTTCTCCCCCTCTGATTTTTTTTTTAGGCAATTGTGGTTAAGTGACTTGCCCAGGGTCAAACAGCTAGTAAGTGTCAAGTGTTTGGTCTGAGGCCAGATTTGAACGCAGGTCCTCCTGACTTCAGGGCCAGTGCTCTATCCACTGTTCCACCTAGCTGCCCCCCCCAATTTTTTTTTTTTATGGAGGAGGCAAGTATACTTTATTAATGTCTGCACTCTCTGGTCCCCCTTTAGCACAAATGATGGTTACTGTTTTCAATTATTAATGATCCTCTAACAACAACTGATATGCTACTATACCTATGACAGTGAAGATTCTGTAGGGGTTATTAAAATATGAGAAGATATCCATTATTTTAATGATTCTTTCAATAAAGCATATCATGGGGGCAGCTATGTGGCACAGTGAATAGAGCACTGGCCCTGGATTCAGGAGGACCTGAGTTCAAATCCAGCCTCACACATAGAACACTTACTAGCTGTATGACCCTGGGCAAGGCACTTAACCCAATTGCCCAGCCAAAACAAAACAAAAAAATAAAATAAAGCATATCAGGACAGAAGCTATTAGAAACAAGGTAAATGTTTATTATAAATACAACTTATAAATATCACACCTAGAGACAAAGCAACAGTAAAAGGGGTAAACAAAGAGAAACCTTTTTATTACAATTTTCTGTTTATATTTTGATTATAAAGTTAATTTCTTATTTTATTATATATGTTTGAATTTATAAATATATGCATGCATCTATATACATATATATGCATATATATGTATATAAATGTATGTATATATACACACACACACTCACACATGCACATGTGTTTCACATAGCTTTCATTTTATTTTGTAGGGAACCAGGATCAATAAAACAATTTCATGCACTGATACTTGGTGTTGAAGAATACAAGCTAACTTTTATTAATAAACTTTTTATTCTTTCTAAATAAAATGTAAAGAGCATCTGATTTTTAAAGATACTACAGCTACTAACGTTAGTTAATGTTTTATTTTTACATATTAAACCAGGGGTCAACAAACTCCAGCTTGAGGGTCAAATCTGGTCCACTGTCTGTTTTTGTATAACCTACAAGATAAGTCATTCCATTTTTTAAGCCATACGAACACAAGACATGGAACAGATTTGGTCTGTGGGTGGTAGTTTGCCAACTCCTATGTAGATGAATATTGTGCTTTAATCTAAATAAATATAAATATAGTTGAAAGAATTCAGGAATTAGAGTTTGATTATATGAGTTTTAATTCTACCTCTGATACTCACTAAGAAGGTGATCCTGAACAAGGGCGTTAACCAATCTGTGTATCTTTTTTTTTTAAATTTGTGAAATATAGCTACTATTTACCTCAAGGAACTATTATGAGGAAAGTGTTTTGTAAATATTAAACTGAGGTATTATAATAAATATTTATAATAAATATACTGTAAGCATTCATACACAGTGGGTAGTACAGATTATGTGATATCGGTAATATAGTGAGTGCGATGTTGTAAATAGAGTTCTGGATTTGGTATCAGGAACTTGGTTCAGGCAAGTCAACGAAGGGGAAAAGAATAAATATTTGTGTAGTACCTACTGTATACCAGGAACTGTGCAAAGCACTTTTTACAAATATCTTATTTGATACTAACAATAACCCTGCATGATAGGTGCTGTTAATATCATTTTATAGTTGAAGACACTGAGGCTAACATGGATTAAGTGACTTGCCCAAGATTGGTTAATGCCCTTGTTCAGGATCACCTTCTTAGTGAGTATCAGAGGTAGAATTAAAACTCATATAATCAAACTCTAATTCCTGAATTCTCTCAACTACATGATATGAACTCAGTCTTTCCTGATTTTGTGCCCAGTGCATCTACTGAACTACCAGCTGCCTCTCTGAGACTGCTATGTAAAATGAGTATGATAATAATTTATCCCTTACCCCATGTAGTTGTTGGGAGAACAAAGTTAATGCTGTAGGAAAAGTGCTTTGAAAACTTTAAAGCACTATATAAATGTCAGTTATTTTATGTATAGAATGTGTACATGGTGTTAGGTGAGATAAAAAAAGTACAGAGGTTAAAAAAAGTAGCAAAAAATTTTATCTGTATCATTTTTATTCAGGACACCTGCATGGACAAAGTAAACTTTGTAATGTTTTGAAGGAGGATCAGTGAATGAAAAAGTTCTATTCTTTTTTTTTTTAAAGCTATTAGAGGAAGTTCTCAGAGAAAACTATTCTTTGTCTTGGAGAATGGTTAGATACTTTACCCAGTTGAAATGAAAACTCTATGGGAGAATTGGCAGAAAATAAAGGCTATTATACAGTATTGAAACTTTATGAGAGATGTCTGGAAGACCACTGTTATCTAAGAAATGTTCTCAAAGTATGGACTCATGACAGCTTTTGTGTTTCTTTCAAAAGCTCTCACACAGCATCTAATGAAAACATCTTCTTCAAATGATTTAGAGTTAATGGAATGTGGGTCTCCTATCATTTGGATCTTTGGGAAATTTTTACTTTCTGGAAAGCAATAGAGAGTCAAGAATTTTCTCATTGTAAAAAATCACCTGTCGCTTTATTTACATATAAACTAAACTTTCACCGAAAAGAATGTTAAGCTTCTTCTGATCTATGAATAAATAGGGGCAAAACTATTAAGGGCATTTAAATAGAGAATCAGCCATGTAAATGGACATATTGATATGTTTCTATCACATTTCTACCACATACTAGAGTCTTGTTTCTTATACATTTCTGAGAGAAACAGAGATATAGTGACAGAGCAAGGGGAGAGATACAAAAAATAAAGAGGGGAGAGGAAAAGGAGAGAGAGAATGAAAAAAAGAAAGATAGAAAGAGATAGAGACAGAGAGAGAGAGAAGAGAACAGAATGCTTTGAATTTATGCCTTGCATCATTGTTTCCACTTTGAAACATTAGGTTCTCGTGGAAGCTATGTAATGAGAATCTTGGTATCCCATCCAGTCCTTAATATTAAGCTAATTATACCTTAAATAGGTAAAAAAGCACATGGATACTCACAAAAATAAAGCTCATTTAAAAATGTTTAATCATTTAAATCACAACCTTTTGGACTCCATTGTATCAAATATACTTCTATAAACTTTGAGCAATGCAAATCAGGTTCAACTATAGGCATTAACAGATCTATTCTTAACTCTAATGTCTTTGAAGCCAAAGTTATTTCATGATTGTTCAAGCAATTTAGCTGATAAGAATGGTTAATGCCTTAACTGTACTTACATATTCTTCATAGGCCTCATGGGCTGGGGGAGGGGGTGGCCGGTATCCTGGAACAGCTGGAGCTCCCCTTGCTCTAGGAGTTGGAACCCCTCTTGCTACTGGGGGTACTGGAAGAGCACCACGTGTCACAGTTGTCCCCCTGGGCGCTGGAACACCTCGTCCAGGTGGTGGGGGAGGAGGAATTGCACCCCCACGGCCCCTAGAGAACAAAATTCATATACCAATGATACTTAAAAGAAGAATGAGCAAAGATGATACAAGATTGAAGGCTATCAAATATCATGTATAGGATCATAAAAGAATAGGTCTAGAGCTAGAAGATTCTTGCCAATCTAGCCCATGCAGATCATTTTGCAAATGAAACCAAGAGCATTACAGATGAAGTGACTTGCTTGAAGTCATAAAATAGTAAATAGCAAAGTTAAGATTTAAAACTCAGGCACTGTACCTCCTAGTTCAGTATTTTTTCTTTTCTTTTTATTTTCTTCTCCTCCTCCCCCTCCTTCCTCTCCTCCTTTCTGTCTTCCTCTTCCTCTCTTCCTTCTCCTCCTCCTCTTCTTCTTCTGAATGAATCTGCTCTATCTTACCCAGGCTGGAAGTACAGAGCCACTCATGATCCCAATCTTACTGTAGATCAACATGGGAAATTTAATATGTTCCTTTTGTAATGTGGCCCAGATTAAGCCTTCCACCTACCCACCTACTCACTCACCCCCTTAGGCAGCCTGATGACCCAGTATTTTCAGGGGCTTCTCATATTAATGTTGAATTTAGTGCAGAAACTCAATTGACTTGACGTGCTGCAGCTCAGACTTCTGAACTTAAGTAATCCACCAGGCTCAGCCTCCCCAGTAGCAAGAATTACAGTCCTATATCATGACACCAACTCTTTCTAATGCACCTACCCACATCCATGACACGGCTCTTTCTAATGCACTTACCACACATGGGATTCCATTTATGTAACACGGAAAATCAAGGTAAAGAATTATAACACCATGTCAATCCAAAACTAATATCTACATCTGATAGGACTGGGTATATACTGATGGGAGCCTTGAATTTGTAGTCAGTGGTACTGGATTGGAATTCAAACTCTGTCACTTATTAGTTGTGTAAATTTGGAAATTATGTAACCTCTATGAGCTTTAGTATCTTCAAGTATAAACTAGGGATGACAATATTTGCACTATGTACTTCAAAAGGCTATGGTGAGGTAATCATTTCATAAACTTTAAAACAATATAGAAAAAGAACTATTTATTAATATTACATTATCTGTTCAATTATCTACATACTTGGTGATATGTCAAGGTCATGTATCTATAGTTCTAGTCTTGAATATGGATACTGCTACTATCTCTCCAATGAAAGAAATACCCTTCCCATTCTCTTTGCCTAGATGTATGCTGTCATTAGCAAAGAGGAGCTCTCATTATGGAAATTCCCTCAAATGATACAGAATAGTAACTAGCATATAATTTACAATTTAAGAAAATTTCCTTGGATCTGGAAAGGTTAATCAAATTACTTAGGAATGAATAGCTATTATAAGTCATGGATGAGACTTGAATTCAAGTTGTCTTCTAGACCCTGAGGCTGTTTCTCCATCCATTATATCATACTGCCTTTCACAAGTTACTAAAATTAACTTTACTAAAGTTTCTAATCATTAGAGTAAGATTACTCTGTTGCATTACATTGCAGTGTATTTGTAATTATCTGAAATTTCAATTTAATTTTACTCTCTCCTAGTAGCTCTCTCTGCTATAAGTTACCATCCAAAGGTATAACCTGAACCATAGCTCATCTCATTGTAATTATGGTGCTGGGGAAACTCATCAGCAAACCATGCTAAGAAAATCACTAAATTCTTTTTGGCCATAGGAATTAACACAAAAGCTACTTTCTCTAAAAGCAGCAGATCAAATGGGATCAGCCAACTTTTATGATATTCAGAGGTTTCATATTCTTCTGAAACATGTGAGGAGTTAGATTATTTTTCTTTTGATTATTTCCTCAAAGGATGAACTCCATTTTCTCATCTGTAAAACATCAGCATTTGACTAGATGATCTATTGGGTCCTTTCAAGCTGTGAAAAGTTTAGTGACTCAGAGAACACCATGCTAGAATGCTAGAATTCCACATTTGATTCACTTGCCTTGCCTTATCTATCATGCCTTAGTGTTCCAACTTCAAACTATAAGGATGCTTTTGAAGTGCTATCTACTGAGCCAAGTTACAAACCTCTTCACCCAGCATCGGTGAATTTTTCATCTGATGAAAAATCCTCTAAGAAATTTGTCTACAGGCTATTTGAAGAATTGTCAAATTATGGTTTCATCAGCTGTGTAGTACATATCACATTAACATATGTAGTGAACACTTGGTTGTCTCTTTTGCATCATCACTAAAATATTAGATCTTTTGTATGAATGTTGTCAAAGAAAATGATTCTAAAATAAATGACCTTCAAGACATGATTCAATACATTTATACTAATATTTCAACTTTGACATCTTTACGTATTAATTTGCATTCTTGAAGGATATATAGTACTTTCCTATCTGTATTTTTTCCTTTTCTAATATTTTGTTAGAAGTATGAAAATGATACATTCCTAATTTCTCATTTTAAATAATCCAACTTCTTTTTGGTTTATTTTGAAATAGAAAATAGTTTAACACCATTTGGTTCCTTGCATCAATAATGTCAAGTTGACATTGAAAGTAGTTTTTTTTTCCATTCTATTTTTTCTTTTATCATAATCTGTCATCCTGATCTATACCTCGCCACTGGGCCCAGATGGCTCCAGAGGAGAAAGTGAGGCTGGTGATTTTGTACAGTCCTCCCTCACTTAAATCCAATTCACTTATAAGTCATGACGTCACCTTCTTGATGTCATTATCCTCTTCAATAATGGACAAAAATAACAATAACAATCAATAAAAATAAACAAAATATCAATAATGTTTAAATAAGATTTTACATCTAATCTCTTTATGTTTTCATTAGAAAAATAACAGACATGTTATCAAAGCAATAGCAACATTTTCTATATGTTCTCTTCCAAATTCAACAGTGCAATTTAGTCACTTACATAGGATGTCCCAAAAAGGTTTAGTGGCGCCAAAAGACTTAGCATGAACTGAGACTTTTGGGATACCCTATATTTTTTGTCATTTGTAAAAACACTTTTATTTAAAGTTTTGAGTTCCAAATTCTATCCCTCCCTCTTTCCATCCCTTCTCCCCTCCCTGAGATGATAATCAATCAGATATAGGTTATACATATGTAATTATGTATAACATTTCCATATTAATAATTTTGCACAAGAAGACTTGAATAAAAGAAAAAAAAGAGAAAAATAAAATTCCTCAGTCTGTATTCACACAATATCAGTTCTTTCTCTGGAGGCAGACAGTGTTTTTCATCATTATCTTTTGGGATTATCTTGGATCATTGTGTTGCTGAAAACCATTCACAATTCTTCATTGTACAATATTACTGTTACTGTGTACAACATTCTCCTGGTTCTGTTCACTTCGCTATGCATCGGTTCATGTAATTTATGTATCTATCTATTTATCTATCATCTATCTATCTATCTGTCTATCTATCTATCTATCTATCTATCTATCTATCTATTTTTACTTTTCAACATTCACTTTTATAAAATTTTGAGTTCTAAAATTCCCCCCTTTCCTTTCCTCCTTTCTATCCAAGACAGCATGCAATCTGGTATAGGTTACACATGTACAATCATATTAAACATATTTGCACATTAGTCAAATTGTGAAAGAGGAATCAGAACAAAAAGGAAAAACCATGAGAAATGAAAAAAAGGGAAAATAGTATGTTTTGATCTGTACTCAGACTCCATCGTTCTGTCTCTGGATGTGGATAGCATGTTTCATGATTAGTATTCCGGAATCATCTAAGATTGTTGCATTGCTGAGAAGAGCTAAGTCTATCAAAGTTAGTCATCATATAGTGTTGCTGTTATTATGTACAATGTTCTCCTGGTTCTCCTCACTTCCTCAGCGTCAATCCATGTAAGACTTTCCAGGCTTTTCAGAAATCTGCCTGCTTATCATTTCTTATTGAACAATAGTATTCCATTACATTTATATACCACAACTTGTTCAGCCATTCCCCAATTGCTTGGCATCGCTTTCATTTCCCATTCCTAGCCACCACAAAAAAAAGAGCTGTTATAAATTTTTTTTTTTTGGTACAAATAGGTCCTTTTCCCTTTTTCTCATATATTTTTGGGATTTAGGGTTTAGGGATTTAGCAGTGGTATTGCTAGATCAAAGTGCACGAAAAGTTTTATTGTCCTTTGGGCATAGTTGCAAATTGTTCTCCAAAACAGTTGGATTAGTTCACAACTCCACCAACAGTGCATTGGTGTCCCAGTTTTCCCACATCCCCTCCAACATCCAACATTTTCATTTTTTGTCATATTAGCCAATCTGATAGCTGTGAAGTGGTACCTCAAAGTTGCTTTAATTTGCATTACTCTAATCAATAGCGATTTAAAGCATTTTTCACATGGTTATAGAGAACTTTGATTTCTTTTCTGAAAACTGTCTGTTCATATCCTTTGACCATTTGTCAATTGTGTAATGACTTGCGTTTTTATAAATTTGACTCAGTTCTCCATCTATATATTTGAGAAATGAGGCCTTTATCAGAGATACTTGCTGCAAAATTTCCCACCAGTTTTCTGCTTTCCTTATAACTCTGGCGACATTGGTTTTGTTTGTGCAAAATCTTTGAAATTTATGTCATCAAAATTATCTATTTATCTTTTGTAATACACTCTATACAATTGGTCCTAAATTCTTTCCTTATACATAAATCTGATGACAAACTATTCCGTGATCTCTTAATTTTCTTATGTTATCATCCTTTATATGTAAATCATGTACTCATTTTGACCTTATCTTGGTGTAGAGTGTGAGATGTTGATCTATACCTGGTTTTTGCCATACTGTCTTACAGTTTTCCAGCAGTTTTTGTCAAATAATAAGTTTTTGTCCTGAAAGCTTAGATTTTTGCACTTATCATATAGTAGATTACTATGGTTATCTACTCTAATGTAATTTGTACTTAATATATTCCACTGATCTACCACTTTATTTCTTAGCCAAGACCAGATTGTTTTGGTAATTACCATTTTGTAATACAGTTTG